AGTGTTCAGAATCCTGACCACGGAGAGACCTGGGAGAGTCAGGGTAGGATGGAGAGCTCGTGGGAGAATGCTGAGGCTCCTTCCATGTCTTATAAGTGTAATGAGTGTGAGAGAATTTTCACAAGGAATAGAAGCCTTATTGAGCATCAGAAAATCCACACTGGTGAGAAGCCCTATCAGTGTGACGCATGTGGAAAAGGCTTCACCCGAACTTCATACCTTGTTCAACATCAGAGAAGCCACGTGGGGAAGAAAATTCTATCACCATGACACACGTCTTAGGTGCCAGAGTTGGTGCTCATTCTGCGTTGAACTGAAGCCACCCTGGAGCCCCTGCTGAATGGAAAATTATGGGCTGGGCTTTATCTACCACTGCACATCGTCAGGTGCTTGTTGGAAAATATACAGTTTGGCTGAGATGAATTATCTTCTACATTCCAGAAAAAACAAAAAAACTTGTTTGATAGGAGGCTATGGGAGAGTTGTCTGGAAGAGGTAGGACCTGAAATGGTTCCCACCTTTTGGACTTAAATGGGCTTCCAGACTAGAGAATCACCCTCGGCCAGCACTCGATGACGTCCCCTGAGTGGAGGGCTCTGATTTGGGGGACTGCTGCTGTGACTATTCCTATTGCCTGTGATGACTCCCTCACCAGTTGTTCGGATCGATGATGTTTTATACCCTGCATTGTGCCTTGCATATAGGTGCTCTAAACATTTATTAAATACACCAGTAAAATGACCTTCATAGCTCTGAAAAATTAATGTTGCCTGCATTCCTGAGGATTTTCTAAGGCGACTTTGTGTCTAAGTCTCTGAGGTTCTAGATTCTGGGTCAACCTAGTATATTTATTGCCAAGTACATAAGATTGTCAGAGTTGGGGTGGAAGAATCCATATTTCTTCACCAGCATAGTAGTTAGAGTAAGAATGCCTTAAATAGTTTCTTTATCATTAAGACATTGTGAGACTGCTCCATCCATACAACTCCATTCTGCAGTCAACATTAACTACATTAGTTCAAGTTAACGTGCTGCTGTTTAGGGGGAAACCTTTCACATTCAGGTAAATAAAAATCAATTTATCAAGTCAGATGAAAATGATTATGCATCTTGATAGAAATTCTAGGATGCTCAACAGACGTTTCTCACTCTTCAGTTATCTCGGGCCTAAGCAAGTGCCAAGACACCACCCACCTTCCTCTCTCCCAGCTCAGAGCCAACTGTGCATCGAGGATTATGCCAGCTAAGCTTAAATTTCCTCCAGGTCAGAGGAGTCACACTAAATATTTATAACAAGTAGTATTCATGTTTTCAAAACTGCCCTGTGGCTGGGGACAGCAAGATTGGGTCAGAGGCAGCCAGTGACGCTACAGACTCAAATACAGGCGATAAAAGAAAAGAAAGCCTTTCAGAAGCACCTTGGGAATCCTGGGGATCTGATCAAACTGATTCCACAACATTCGAAGAATCAACATGTGAAGGCAAGACTCTCAAAAGAATTTCATGATAGCTCCTGTTTTCACCCTGATCACCTTCTAAGTTCTTCAAAAACAGACCTCCTTCCTCTGTGCCCGAGTTCGTATCTCCAGCTTCTGGCTTTACTGGGCGGTGTCAAGAATGTATTCTGCTTCTGATGAAGTCAGTGACCACATTGAGTTCACTCACCAGCATAGCGTCTCTTCTGTTCTCAAGTTCCCTCTGGATTCCTGCTCTGATGTACCCCAGGCTGACTAAGGACTTTGCAAACCATAGGGCTCTCCCTTTATCACTTCCCTGCAATCTTTCCTTGCCTTCGTTAGCCCCTCATTGCAGTCTAATCTGAGACTTTAGCTTCCCAAAAATCCTGTAGACGTTCCCCACTGAATGTTTTCTAGCCTTTTAAAATTTCCTTTTAAGTTAACCGTATTTTTGTTAGCTCCACAAAGCTAGCAATTTCCTTTTCTCTCCTATCTTTATTTTTCCTAAATATTTGCTAATAGCTCTGATCTTAAACACTGTTCATTTTTCTTTGGTATTTAATTGTTTCTTCTGTCATATGAAGAGATATATATGAAAGCCTTTTACAAACCAGAGAGCATTATACACTTAATAACTATAACTTAGTGAGATTAACAAAGGACCACCATGCCTCCTTTCAATCTTTTTGCTCTTCCCGAACCTAAAAGACTTCTCCATTGAGGAGAGAAAAATTATAGAGAAATACTTCTGAGTGCCAACTTGGCCTGACAGTGAAAGGAACAAAGCAGATACACACACACACACACACACACACTTGGGCTTAGGCTTCTAGCGTAATAACATTGATAAGATCTGCACATGAACATAAGTGAGTGGTAAACTTAATGCTGTGGAAGTTCAGTGGAGGGGACTGACTTCTGTGGAGTCCAGCTGTGTGCTGTCCTTATTACATGGACAGGGTGACATGTTAGCTGAAAAGACTAAAGGAGTTTGTCAAATTTAGAGAATGAGGCAACCCTGAAGAGGTAGGTATATGGTAGGGGCCTTCAGTACCAGAGCAAGGAGCTCAAATTTTATTCAGTAACACTAGGGAGCCAGTGACATTTTATGATGATTTTATGATTAAAAAAAATTAGGAAACTATCTGGAAGTACTGTGTAGTTTCAGGTAAAATAAGTTACTTTGTTACTAGGCTTTTAGACACCCTGATTTTGTATAAAACAAAGGTATGTTTATAAGTAAGTGAATTATAAAATGGGTTTAACTCTAGTCTATTTAAAAGGATGGCCAAAAAAACTTTTAGATGAAATTAGGCCCAGTAAAATCTGCTGCTTAGCTGACATATAAGCAGTACATAAAGTGGAATAAAATGCTACTTTTCATGCGCTGAAAAGTTATTCTTAGGAACTTTAACATCAATTAGTTAGCCATTGTATTTCGTTTCTCCAACTAAAGTAATGCAGAAATTCTCCATTTTCTTTTTTCTCCCTTTTCGTGAATAGCTGGTTATAGCATATTTTTTTCTACTTGGGTAGAATGAATAGTTATCATGAAGAGTTTTTGATGACAAGCCCTCCTAGATGTGTTCCTAATTTTGGTAAAGTTGTGTATAATCCTGCAACCTATTTCTCTGCCTTCTCCTTTAGTAAAAAAAAAGTTGGCATGTCAACTTACCTCCCAGAATTGTGAGGATCTGCTCATCCAAATGAGAAGTGCTGGGTAAATAATCTGCAAATGTTAATATTGATAGAGAAATGGAGATTAAACACTTCTTTAGCCAAAACCTCTATATATTGGAATGACAATTGTTTAATATAAAGCCTCTCTGAAAAAAGTGCCCTGACACAAGTGTATCACAGTGTTGATCTCTTAATGGTGTCCCCAAATAGCTCAAATATCCAATTACCAAAATATCTCAAATATCCATCTCAAATATTCATAATGAGAACTTTAACCACTCATTAAAATTATCTACTTTTCTCTAACCACCCTTTTTAGTCTATCTTTTGATTTTCCTCATGGTAGTTAAAATTGGGTCTGATGGATTCAGATGAGGAAACTCTCTTCCAGTCATCTTTGTAGATATAGTGTCTATTTGGCATGTTTCAGATGGAGTTGCTACCACAGGAATATTTGGGCATGACTACTTTCCTGTGAACTTTTTTGTTGACATACCACTTTTTTGTAGAAACATAATTTTATGTCTGCATCTACTCACATTTCTCACTTCGTTGATGTCATAGCAATGCCTCTCAATTTACCACATCAACCTAAGACCTTGGAATTTGAACACAGCAAGACTTCTCGTCTGCTTTCCCAATTCATGGCTGAACACCATGATCTGTTCCTGCCTGTTCTATGTATTTTGTCTATTAGGAAATTGGGTTGTCATTCCAAATCCTATGCACACCTTTCCAAATCCCCATTGTTATTCCAATTTCTAAGGTACTTCAAGATTTTCAAAAGTCTAGGGGAAAAAATCTGAACGGTGCTAATGTAACTTATTTGTATAAAAGTAATAAACTATGTAGTTATTCCTTTTGTCTGAGTGAATTCTTAAACAGGTAACACGTTGCATAATTTCTAAGCTGTCAGAAAATAATTATAGTTTTGAGTATTTATTATTAAAGTGTTAGAACTTTCAACCATTTCTCCCCTCGACTCCCCAAGCAGTTCTATCCATCGGTGTTGGGGGCCTAGCAGGTGAAATCTGCAGCTCCCAGACCTGCTGGAGCAGCGGGTATGGAAGGGTTGGCGTGGGGCTGAGACACGGAAGATAAATGTCTGGCTCACCAGAGTATCCATCCGCACCCAGCAGAGTTCCTGTGAAATGAGTGAGTCTTGAAACTGATTAATCCAACTTGTTATTTTGTGAAATAAAACTCATATTTTATGGCAAGACAAGAAACATTTAAACATCAAAAATGTTCTCTGCCCTCTGACCTCCTCTCTCCCCTCTCCTATGCATTGTGTATCTGCAGTGTGCATGGACCAAACCTCCCCAAATGGCAGAAATACCTGCTCAGCCATAAAGAGCAACATTCTTCTAACACCAACAAGAAACCTAAAGATAACATTCCTCAGGGAGGGTGGTGGTAAATCTCCTGCTTAGCATGCACAAGGTCCTGCGTTCAATTCCCAGTACCTCCATTAAAAAAGATAAGTAAATAGATCTAATTACCTCCCCCCCACAGCAACAACAACAATAAAAGATAACATGAATTTCTTAATCTTATAACGGGCCACTGTGACCCATGACCCACTACTTACTGGACTGTATAAACAGTCAGTAATATGTCATTTAATGTATAGCCCTCTATCTCAAAAAACATGTAACTGTACTTCGACCGCAATTGGGTAGAACAGTTCTTGGAGCTCTCTGAGAGGCTGTTCTGGGTTATAATCCTCAGTTTGGCTCGAATAAAAATTTCCATTTCTTTCTTAGGTCAGCTGATTAAGGCTCAACCCTCAAGTCTGTTTTATCCCAAGAAGAGGGTATTCCTTTTCCCCATGAGGAAACTTCCTTGGGGAAGAGCGTCCTCTGGGGGCAGAACACTCAAGACTGCATCACTCTTCTTCGAGCTGCTGCTAACACATTTTCTCACTCATTTTTGAAACTCTAGGAAAATTTCCCCAACAATCTATACAGGAAGGGAAAATTTTCTCCACACCTAAGCCAAGCAACAGAAGGGAAAGATTCAGGAGATTTAAGATGGTAGTTTTTAAAGCATCTTATCTGGATAGTGATCCAATTCTCTGATGTCTTGTACTCAGGATACAGATGACTTTTTGTAACACTGAAGATGTGATGGGAAAGCACTAAGGGAACTTCAGGTGGCTAAGCTTAAACGAGGAAATCTGAGAATCCTAGTGTGACGTCTGCCATTGTAAACAATTGGGATTCGGTGTCAAAAGCCAAGAGTTCAACTAAAAAGACCTGATATAAAGTGTTAACGTTAGGGGAAGCTGGGTGAAGGACATAAAAGAAATCTATCTACCTTTGCAACTTTTTTGAGTCTAAAATTATTTCAGAATTTAAAGTTTACTAAAAATAAAAGTCCAGGGTTTCAGCCTTGGCTCTGAGGCTTGGATTTTCTGAATCTACAATTCCTCTTCTGTAAAATGGGATCATGATAATGCTCATGTCCCTGCGCAGTTGTTGCGACGAGCAACTGGGGTTAAGTCAATGGAAGCACTCGGCGAACAGCGAAGGCCCCAGCCAATGCTGGTCGCTATTCCAGAGGAGCATCATGTAGGTGCCAGAGGGAAGCTGTAGGCAGAAAAACTCTTTACCAGGCAGGGACTGGGCACAGGGAACACCAACGACCCATTTATTATAAAACACCCACAGAGCTCTATGTGATCGTTAGGAATTAAACACAGCTACAAATCTTTTAGGCATATTGGCTGTAGCAGCGCCATTAATTACATTACCAGGAAAGTGTAGCAGCCATCTCAAAGAGAAAAAATAAGAGGGGTGGGGGTGGTCAGAATCAGGAAGGGGTGAAGGAACCAGAAGGGAAAGAAAGCAGCAGCTTCAAAAAGTCAAACCTTCCTATTTGGATGTCCCTGGACCAAAACACACTCAGCAGACTCAGGAAGAAGGGCAGCCTGCAGTCTTGACCTTGACCTACCCCACACGACCTGGCCAGTGATGAGGAAAACCTGCAGGCAGCGAGGACTAGACCAGCGCCGTCACCACGTGGATCTTCTGATGGCGGATGAGGTTGCAGTGGCGATTGAAGCTTTTCCCGCATCCGCTGCAGCGGTGAGGTCGCTCCCCAGTGTGGCTCCTCTGATGCTCCGTGAGAAAGGAACGCCGGCTGTAGCTCTTGCCACACTGGCTGCACTGGTAGGGCTTTTCTCCCTTGTGGATTCTCTGATGCTGGATGAGACCCGCACTCTGGCTGAAGGCCTTCCCACACTCCTGACAGTGGTACTGTTTCTGTACATTGTGGATTCCTCGGTGATTGAAGAGACCTGAACTCCGACTGAAGGTTTTCCCGCACTCGTTGCATTCATAGGGTCTTTCTCCAGTGTGAACTCTTTGATGTCGAAGGAGACCTGAGCTCTGGGCAAAGCTCTTCCCACATTCATCACATTTGTGTGATCCATCTCCTCCTCCTGGGGTTCCCCAGTGCCTCTTGAGCCCACCCTTTAGTTTACCAACTTCCCCAGGTAGGGGATACTGGTGTGATACCTCCCAGGTCTGTCCGAAGGATAGTGTCCCCTGTGGTTCTGCTCTCTTAGGACAGTCTTCTCTCAGCCCCAACTCTCTGTCCTCAGTCGTGGTCATTCCAGCTGAAACAGAAAAGACCTGGTAAACATGACTTGTTCCCTGAGCCTCCAGGAGGGCACTATGTGCACAGAAATGCGAGGCGCTTCCATCCTGATGTCATCACAGAGGAGAGGAAGCGGAAGGGCCATCTCCTTATTTATATGCTTATTAACTGTCTCCCCTTTGCTACAATTTCATCTCCATGGGAACAAGATCTTTCTGGTTTGCCCCCTAAGAATCGTGCCTGGCACACAGTAGTTGCTCAGTAAATACTTGTTGAATGAACAGAAGAGAAAGGACTGAAATCAATGCTATTATTATGGCCTCAGGTGACCTGCACTGAGGCAATGGCGACCGCAGTGGACTGGTTCATGTTGGATAGTGTCCAATCAACCAATTAGACCTTCTCTGCTTGGAGGAGTTGAAGGTGAGAATGGAGACAGACAGACACAAACTGTCTTAACACTAAAAACTGAATCCTTATGATGTCTTGGGTTCCCAGGGTGTGATTTCCATCTTGCAATCCAGAAACGTTCAAGGAAAACTGCCCCTGACTCCCTTTTTGTTTAAAACCAAAACAGCTGGTTCTTCCCCCTACATCTAACTGTACTGTCACTCACACACCTGGATAGGTATCTCTTAGGACTCCTCTGTGCTTAGAGCATGGTTCTCCTCCTCCTGTTAGCTGGGAGATGACAACAGGTTTGCCAAACAGAAATGTGTCTGCAAAGAGGAAATGGGCCACAAATGAGATCAGTACTGCCCTTCTGCCCAAACTTCATATTTGTATCTGAAATGGACAAGGGAACTGGGTAGAATATAAAAATGACATTTCCCACATTTTAATAATTATCATATATATAGCCTTCTATCACTTACAAACACTTCCACAAAACTAACTCACCACAAAACCCCTTGATGTTATTGTCCCACTTCTTTAAAGAACTAGGAAAAAATAAAAAGGAAGATAGACATAGTCGGAGACAGACTCTATATTTAGAAAAAAAGTCTGGAAAATACACAGCAATTTGACGAGAGTGGTTACTCCTGGGGAGCTGGATTTGGAGTACTTTCACTTTTTACTATGAAACTTATGCATTTGGATTTTAAAAATCAGTATGAATTTTACAAGAAACACAAACTCAGTGATATAAAGTACCTTTAGATATTGCCTAGCTAAAAACTTGAAGAGCTGGAACTTGGATTTGGTCCTTGTAATCTCAAACACTTCCTATGTTGCTTTACCAAATGGGCTTTTCCTGAATGTATAACACACACACCTGCATTGTCAGTCCTATAGGGAAAACTCTTTGATCTGTAGATGCCCCCCAGATACCCTCCGGGAGTCACTGCAGATGCTTAATGAATATCTGTTAAATGAATGAATGACAGGATGGATGGATGGATGGACCTACTCAGATGTGCCCTGGAAGAAGGTTCTCAACGGGGTTCTAGATTCAATTTGGAAAGCAGAAGAAAGGAGAAAATGGCTAGAAAATGCAAAGTCCAAGTTTATGGGGAGAGGAAGAAAGTAATAAGGAACTGACTGGAAAGATGCTCATAAAAGGGGAAAATGAAACCAGAAGTAATTTTAGTAAGATGATGTCATGGGAGTCAGAGGAAGGTCTGCAGTACGCACAGAATTTACTCAACAAATACAATTTTAATTTAAATCAAGAGATGTGTTCCAAAATCCACGATAACTGAATGACTGCTGGTGTAAATGAAATAAATAGAAGCAGGAGGCAGAGTGGTAAGAGAAGGTGTGGCTCTGATACATGTGGGGGTCATGTCCAAATGAGAACAGCAGAACTCTGCTGCAGACTGATCATCAGGTTAACAAAAAGTCAGTAGGAGGCTCTGATATTATGTGTGGGAAATCAGACAGAAGTTAGAGTCAACTGCCACAGGGAGAGCTAGAATGGGAAGACAGCTGACTCAGCCCCAAGTGCCCAGTACGACACCCACTGGATCCAGTACTGACACCACTAACAAGATTACATACAAGGAAATGGCGAGGTCTGACTCCATTGGATTCTCTCATCCAGTCTGCCACCCACTAACCCTGTCTCATAGCTTTCTATTGCAAATGTAAACCCAAATCAGCAAGGGTGGCACTGGTCATTTCTGATAAGAACTGTGGGAGCACAAACTTGGGTTAACAAACTTTGACACTGCAACGATTGCTTTTACCAAATCATAGTCTCACCTTTATGTATTCTCACCTTTATGTAAGCATGTAAGAAATGTATAATCAAAACCAATGCTTTCTATATCTGTAATTATACTGCTACTTCAAAGCAAAATGTCCAAAACACAAAAGACTGAACTCTTAATACCAGTCGCCACCTTATCTATGGAATTTAGCTTAGTTGCCTTGAAGCTGCATTGCTAGCAGGAAACTGCTACAAACTGTCTCCTTGCTGTAAAAAGCAGAGACATGCTTTGCTCACTTTGCTTAGCTCAAGGTCATAGCTTCAGGGCTGCTTATGCTTATGGAAAACCATAACTCGTCCCTTGCCCCAACCATCAGGACATGCTTCGCTTATCAGGCATAGGTGGATAGTGTAGGCTGTTCTTGCTCACAGAAAACTGTGACTTAGCCTTTAGCTGGGGACAGCTGGGCTGCTTCGCATGCTTAGACGATTTCTGCTCATAGTATGGAGACTCTGAGGTGGTCTGGGTTTTCATTATCAATTATTCGGAACACTGTAACCTTGCTCATGATTGTTTGAGGTTTAAAATAACCATTTGTACTATCAATGTTGTAACCTTCTCTCTAAGTATAAATTAAGATTATAATGTTTCTGTTTTTCATGAACTGTAAGTGCTGACCTGCATCCCTGAACGTATACCATGCCCTTTATTCCTATGACGTATTTCACTTTGATTCTTTTTTTGACTATTCTCAATAAATACAAGAGCTTTGGAGGAGCCTGGGGAATCAGTCTCCGGCTCCCTCTCAGTCTCTTGACCTGATAAAGTCTTGAGTAATTCCGTTCTTTGGCAGTGGGACTTTTGCTGGACAAACCCCACGATGAACACAACCCACAAAGAACAGTTACCATACAGTAAGCAGAATGCCTGCCAAGTGCTTTTCATAAACTGTCTGTATTCAATGCTCACAACCTTCTGAGGTATATATTTGTTATAGACTGAACTATGTAATCCCCACCCCAAATTCACATGCTGAAGCCCTAATTGTATATGGAGATAGGATCTTTAGGGAGGTAATTAAGGTAATTAAAGGTAGGGTCCTAATCCAATAGGACTGACGTCCTTCTAAAAAGAGGAAGAGATACCAGAGCATGCACACCCTCTCTCTCTGTCACCCTCTCTCCACAGGCAGCTGCAGGGAGGAATTACCATGTGAGCACACAGCAAGAAGGCAGCTGGCTACAATCCAGGAAGAGAGGTCTCACCAGAAACCAACTCTGATGGCACCTTGATCTTGAATTTCTAGCCGCCAGAACTATGAGAAAGTAAATCTCTGTTGTTTAAGCTACCCAGTCTGTTATGGTAGCCTGAGCAGACTAAGACAATACTATCATGAACCCCATTTTGCAGATGAGGAAACCTTGATCAAGTGGTTACATAAGTGGCCCCAGTACAATCGCTTCCAGGAGGTGAAGCCACGATTTGAACCTGGCTGTCAAACCTTGAAACTCAGTCTCTAAGGCTGCTCTGAAAGTCTCCCTAATGTACCATGAACCAGGAGACCAGGGAGCTTCCAGCACGGTACTCAGGGGAAGACCATGTGCAGGCGGAGGGGACAAAGATGAGCACACTAGCCACTCAAAGCACTAAGCATTGCTGCTTTCTGGCAAAGCGTCTTCTGACCCCCTGGTTTCCCGGCTCTGATTTTTTGTTTGTTTGTGCTTAACCAGGTAGAGCATGTTCAGCATCAGATGAATTGTGTCCCTCACCTGTCTCTCCAACAGGGTGGGGCTCTTGAGCAGGGTCACATGTGAGGTGGGTCTCCTTAGGCTGGGACTGAAGGCCTAGTGACATCTGCTCTCCTAGGGACACTGTTTCTTCAGGGAGGATGTCTTGTCCATGTCTGTAGGCTAACATCTAGAAACAATGAGACACGGTTTGACTTCTGAAGAAATGCAGTGTCTAAAGAAACACTTCCCAGACAGAAGCAGAAAGCAGGGTCTTATCTATTCACCCAAATCAAGGGGATATAAAGCAGAGGACACAAGGGTCCTTGGTGAGCCACATACACTATTTTTCTGGCGAATCTCCCATCCTACCTCATGTTGTGGTTCATCCAGCTCTCTCTCCAGATCCTCCAGCAAAATCACTGCCTCCTCCCCACTCTCTGGACAGTGCTCCCTCACCCAGCCCTGCAGCTCCTCAGGCAGGATGGTCAGGAACTGCTCCAGCACCAGCAGCTCCAGGATCTGCTCCTTCGTGCTCACGTGTGGCCTCAACCACTGGCAGCAAAGTTCCCGGAGTTGGGTAAGAGCTGCCCTTGGTCCAGGGGTCTCCTGGTAAGAGACTTGCCGAAAGCGCCTTCGGAAGATTTCCCTTGCCAGTGGATTATTGCGTTTCAGTCTGGATCCCTGCATTTGGACGTGACTTTCTGCCTCTGCTTTCACTGACAGAAGTTCTTCCCAAACCTCAGAAGTGTGAACATCGGGGGGTAAAACCTCCTTGGAGTCTCTACTCATCTTGACCTTGAACAGCTTTAAAGGCACCCTCCAGCTGGAGCTCTGTTTTAGAAACAAACAGCTTTGTGGAGAGGCTGTGGAGAAAAGGGAACCCTCCTACACTGCTGGTGGGGATGCAGTTTGGTGCAGCCATTGTGGAAAACAGTACGGAGATTCCTCAAAAGACTAGGAATAGACTTACTTTATGACCCAGTAATCCCACTCCTGGGCATATATCCAGAAGGAACCCTACTTCAAAAAGACACCTGCACCGCAGTGTTCATAGCAGCACTATTTACAATAGCCAAGACATGGAAACAACCTAAATCTCTATCGACAGATGACTGGATAAAGAAGTTGTGGTATATTTATACAATGGAATACCATTCAGCCATAAAAATGAAAACATAATGCCATTTGCAGCAACATGGATGTCCCTGGAGAATGTCATTCTAAGTGAAATAAGCCAGAGAGAGAAAGAAAAATACCATATGATATCGCTCACATGTGGAATCTAAAAAAAAAAACAAAAAACGAAAGAAGATGATGACAAATGAACTTAGATATAAAACAGAAACAGACTCATAGACTCATTGGC